GGGGTGCTCAGAGGAGGGGGCAGAGTTGGGGCAGGGACTTTGGGGAAGGGGTTGGAATGGGGGCGGAGAAGGGGTGGGGTTGGGGCGGGGCAGGGCCGGGGGCGGGACCGGGGCCCCATGGAGTGTCCTCTTTTTTAAATGTTTGAATATGGTAACCCTAGTGAAACCTACCAGAGACTTGTATCATTATGATTTTACAGCAAGATATCATGCTCTCTCCCTCTCTCAAACCTCTACTCTTTTTGTACTGAAGAAATAGCTTTAGTGCTTACAAAACCCATTTCTTAAACAGGACTTGACCTTTTTTCAAGCAGGTTTCACTAGAATTATTTTGATGGTGTAAGGTCTTTTTAAAAGAAGGGATGAACTATTATCTGTTGCCAGTTCTCCCTTCCAAGGAAGTAGGGCAGTGCAAGACTTACTTACCTCTTGCATTGCTGAGTGGTTTGAGGTACAATGCTAGTTCTTCCACACATTTCTTGGCCTCCTCATAATGTTTGGTGTCTTCTGCTCCACTGCACAAAGTAATTGGCTGCTGCTCAGGAACCTGAAAACAGATGAAGGTAAACTTACACACTACAGTATGCACAGACACACAAAAACACCATACCAAGCTCTTCAGTGTCAAATATTCTTTCACGCCCACCTATCCAACCTTTCCACAACATTAATGTGGGAACATGCTCCAGTTTTAGAACCCTTGACATTTCACTTCATCCATGGTATTCTTAACACTTGAAAAGCTTTTTCAGCCTGAAGCTTTTAAAAATTGCTTGGTATTAAACAGACTTTTTAGCACCATCACACAATATAACAGTTTCTCTTTACATAGCTAGTTGTATTATATGGCAGCACAAGGGCACTTCAGTGAGCTTGGGGCACAAATCAATGTATGCCTTAGAATGAAGTTTAAAAGACATGCCAAAGCTTGCAATGATTTCAAGTTTACTTGGAATGTGTGGCAACAACCATTTTGATTTAGTGGTTGAAATGATAAAAGCAGAAGACTTATAATTTACTGGAACACCAGCTAGTACATCAGATATTAAAGCAACACACCAGTAGTTTCATATGTACTGGTGATCAGTTTTTGATGCTAAAGCAAGATATTTAGAAAGGGACACTCAAAGCTAGTAGGCCTAAAATTAGACCTACCAGCTGGTTTGGTTTGCAGGTATTTGCAGATCCACATTGAGGACTTGGCTGCTCTAAAATTTTCTATAGAAAGTCAAATGGTCAAACTGCTGCACTGCACATTAGACTTGGGCCTAAGATGAAGCACACAAACTAATGCATGTAATTGCTTTATTTCCTCCCCTAACTTGGATCACTTAAGGCAGTGACTCAATCTTTCTAGACTACTGTATCCCTTACAGGAGTCTGATTTCTCTTGCGTACCCCAAGTTTCACCTCACTTAAAAACTACTTGCTTACAAAATCAGATATGAAAATACAAGTGTAACAGCATACTTGCTGAAAAATTGCTTACTTTCTCATTTTATCATACAATTATAAAATAAATCAATTGGAACATAAATATTGTACTTGCATTTCGGTGTATAGTATATAGAGCAGTATAAACAAGTCATTATCTGTATGAAATTTTAGTTTGTACTGACTTCTCTATTGCTTTTGATGTAGCCTGTTGTAAAACTAGGTAAATATCTAGATGAGTTGATGTACCCCCACTGGAAGACCTCTGTGTACCCCGAGGAGTACATGTACCCCTGGTTGAGAAGCACTGACTTAGGGCTACTGTCATTTTTAGTTTAGGGAGATAATGATAACAGCACATGTATCAGGCCACACTTGGAAAAAGGGCCAGATTATAAACCCAGTAAACAACTAGCGACTTTGTGCTACGTGTACACACACCACTATCAGCATAAGCGATCAGTCGAATACCACAATCGGTTAGCTGTTTTGTTTTTTTAAAGTGTTAGGAGGCGGCATTCATTTCTTTTTTCAGCTAATTCATCAGAAATCAAAACCACCCACAGGACACTGAAATTTCTCCCTGGCTTTGATACAGTTTCTTTATTGGGGAGGATCTTTAAACCTGAATGAGATTTTAGTGTATAATCATACTGATGTCCACAAATATTTTTGACAATATGATGTGTTCTCAACTTAAGTTTGCATTTGCATTCAAAAAAGGTATTTAGTTACATAACATTCACAATGCATTACTTTTTTTTGGTGGTTAAAATAAAAAAAATTTAAGCTGTTTTATAGAGCTGAACTTCTCCTAGTTTACGCAGAACAGTGTCATCTCCTCCAGATAAGGTTAAAATTAATATTTCCCCACCACCACAATGTGCGTGCGCACACACTTGAGAAGACAAGTTAAATTTTAAAAACAAGTTCAATCCTGGCCTCCAGGCTTCCTCAGACTACTACTACTATATTAAAGTTTATGCTCAAATACATGTTAGTCTCCAAGGTGCCACAAGTACTCCCGTTCTTTTTGCGGATACAGACTAACACGGCTGCTACTCTGAAACCTACTATTATATTGGAACTGCAAACTACCTCCTCCTCTCCCAGCAAGAATCTTAGCTATAACTTTCTCATACAATTTCCTTCATATCTGAGTGAAAGAGGGCTTTAGGATGAAATGTTTTTACCACTTTAGTCAGTGGTCACTACCATAAAATGCTACAATAAGAGCGACCCCAGACTGCCTTTCTTCCAAATCTCTAGACACCAGTTTAACCAACACCTTCAATATTAATCATCATTTTAATACTATGTTTCCCTCACAAAGCCTATGTCATTGTAACAATCTGCTTCTGTCTGGGAAAGTACCCAAACAGAACACGTCTAGGTCTAACCATGTGCATCTATCTACATTTGTGCTGAGGCTAGCACTCTACAGCATCCTTACTGTAAGATTACTGTGTGCATGTTTCCATTTAACTCTGCTTCCCTCAATCTAGGGACTATGGCACAACGTGAAATGCAACAACATTGTTACATATAGCAGAAAGATGGTTTGGAATAGGCGTGAGACAGGAACACAGCGGGCAGCAATCGATTATTATCCTGAATCAGGGTAGATTTAGCATGCATTCACAGCATTGGTTAGGAATGCTATACACAGCAGAACTGGTCTAGTGAGAGACCAGGACTGTCTAAGCAACCAAACAGAAAGCTTTCCCCAGCCCCAAATAGTACAAAAACAAACAAAAAACGAACATAAAAAAGCTACCCAAAGGCAAGTAAAGCTACACAATGAACAATTTTAAATCCAAGATTTTTTTTTTAAGTGATACCTAGATGTTCAATCTCTGTTTCTCCCCTTTCCACTGGAAAGCTCAGCTTGAAATGTAGAGTTTATTTTACTTTTACTTTTTGCAAAGTAACTGCTAAATGTGTGAGAGATAACCTGGCAGTTTGATAGACAGTGTAATGCCCCATACTGAGGGAAACTTGAGTTAGAGCAAGTCTACACTTAAAACGTTAAGGCGGCACAGCTGTAATGCTTCAGTGTAGACATTCACTGATGCACTGTCTACACTAGCGCTTTACAGCGCTGCAATTTGCTGCGCTCAGGGGTGTGTTTTTTTTCACACCCCTGAACAAGAAAGTTGCAGCGCTGTTAATTGCCAGTGTAGACAAGCCCTAAGTCACTTATGCTCAGAGTGCCTCGAGTTCCCCATTTGCAAAATTAGCAATTCACCACTTTGTGAATAAAGTGAGTGACACCCTATATTCGTTAGTGCTTGCAAAGTACTTTAGATGCTCAAAATAGATAGCACTGAAGCATGACTTTATTTTCATCTTCATCAAAATATTCTATCACCTCATTTCACCATCCCCTCCCCAAACCCACCAGGGCTCAAAATACAAACTAGTCTTGTGTAATAGTCCTACAAGAGAGCTAGTTAGTTTAAGGAAAGGAAGGCAAAATATCAAGGATATTTTGGTGCTTTAAATGTGCCTTTATTTTCCATGAATCTTCCCCTACAATTAATAATACTGAGAATGACACTGGAATGTAGTCCATAAGCACAAGCAACTGCAGTTGCAGGCAGAAGTTGGTTATGATGAAATATATGGGGTGGGGCCTGAAAAAGAATGCTAAGGATACATTTCATACAGGCTGAGAGCAACTACAAGATTCTGAATTGATAATTAAAAAATTTTGTTTTGGAGGAGGGGTATCAGCCTCATCCTTTACAGCAGTGGTCCCCAAACTTTTCAGCGTCACACCCCAACCTACCCCATCCGTGCTCCCCACCCACCTTGAGCTGGGGTTGCAGCTCCCGAGGTGAGATGTGGACATAGGCACGGGTACTAAGGGTGTGGGGGGTACTGCAGCCGCCTCAGCTGCTGGCCCCAGCCTTGACCCCGCTTACCCCTATCCAGGTCTCCCCCTCCCAGAGACATGGCTCTGCTCCCAGCCCCAGCTGGGGGAGGGGAGGACACGGACAGGGGTAAGGGGGCTGGCTTTCAGCATCCCCGCTATTAAAAATGTTTCAGTGCCACTGGATTTGGACAAGGGGTAAGGTGGCTGAGGCTGGGGGGTGGGGAACCAGGAATGGAGCTGCAGCCCAGGGGCCGGTAGCTGGGCGGCACTCACTCCCCATCTTCTGTGGGGGATGGCCTGGGCCGCATTGTGCTCCCTGAATGTTTCTCTGTACCCCCCTAGGGGGGCATGCCCCACAGTTTGGGGACCTCTGCTTTACAGTAACTGTCATATTAAAAAAAAAGTTTAATTGCACAGAATAAAGATATACTAAGCAAAGGCATAGCAAGTTTTCTCCAATTCCAGCTGCCAGCCTCCCTTTCTCTCCTTCTAACTCCTCCCCCCTTTCAAACAGATGCACATTTTGGTTTATGGCAAGAAACACTGCTCAAAGCTTTAAGTTCAGGAAATGTGCCAGGCAGTGTTCCTTAGCACAGAATTCCCTCTTAAAGGAGCTCAACTTAATGATGAATTTCAATGCAACACCTCCAAATATGATGGTATGAGCTCTCTAGTTGCACATTTCTCTCTAAATATTTCTGTACTTCAATTTTGCACGTGTTCTTTTAAACACAAAACGCTGAAAGAACTGCATGCAGTAAAGCTTTTATAATGCTTCATTCTGAACAAAGAGGGTAGAACTCTACCCATTTATTGTCTTCCACAGGGCTTGTGAAAACATACAAAGTTTTACATTCACACACAGCATTTCATTTTTCTGACATGGCCTGCTGTACAACCAATTTAACTGATGACACTTAAAAAAAATCCACCTCTGGAGAAAGAGGGCGTTAATCTGGAAGAGAAAGCTATCTGTTATGTGTACCCCGCCTGCTATGTTGTCACATTCATTCCTGCTACATCTAGTGCATGGAACTATACTTAGCCCTTTGGGAACTGGACTGAATAAGAAACTTAATGCTTGACATGTGGATTCTAGTTTACTTTGGCCATTTGATGTCACCTGTTTGGAATGTGCACATTGCAGTTTCATGTGTCACAGAAAAAAGCAGGAGGGCAGAGAGACTGTATGTTGAAGCTGGGACTACACAACCTCAAAAGACCTGTCTGGTAGATATTTAAAATGGCTAATCAGAGTAAGCACTGAAGGGATACTTAAATAAACCACTTTGACCACCTTAAGAATTTCTTCTCTATTTTAAGTTTTTAAAACAAAAACAAAACAACAAAAATCTATACTCTCTACCACCACAAACGCATAATAAGTATAACAAAAAAAAAACCCCAGTGTTCTTTTAATGCCTGGGCTGTATCTATATCAGTTAGCACGTTATTCCCAGAAACACAATGTTCTACTTACTTCACCAATGATGCTGGTACACAAACAGGCCAAAGTGACCCATTTGCTTTAAGTGAATCCTGTCATTACTTTTACTCCCCTTAAAATAGTTTTGCTTCTTAAAATTATTATTTTTAAAAACACATGCAGGAATGAACCCAAGAAAACAAACAGTTATAAATTGGTAATCCCTTACAAAAGTACTAAACTGAAAGAAGGGGCTCCTTTTCCCCAGATACAAGTTTTAAGTGTCTCCTGCATCATTTCCTACTACAATTAAACTTCAGCTTTCTGGATTTCATGCTTCTCTTTTTAAGACATTAGAGCCATTAGATGTACAGGGATTGAAACTCAGAAGATTTACAAGAAGTGGGGGGAGGGTCAAGCAAAGAGTGTTAACTGGGAAGTGGAATCCAAAACAGCGCAGTATTAGACTATGAAGGCTGTCAAGAATACTCCTGAGTGACACACACTTCATAATCATGTTTTGTTGAGCCCAGCTCAGTTTTGTGGAGATGTGCCCAAGAGAACACACCCTTTCAGTATGAAAGAGCTCAAAGTGTTTGTAGCCTCTCTCAAATGCCTTTTTTCTAAATAGTCAACGTGCCCTGCATTTGAGAAAGACTAGGGCAAAGTGGTAGCCTCCTTGATGTTTAGGACAAAAGTTAAGAACAGTTATTGTATTACAGCAATGGTTAGAAGCCTCAACCAAGATCACAACCTCATAGTGCCAGGCACTGTAAATATGCATGGAGACAGACAGTCCTTGCCCTGAAGAGCTCACAATCTAAAAAGAGATGGAGAGAAAGAAAGCATCCTCTTTTACAAGTATGGAACAGGGGCTCAGAGAAATTAAGCCAACTGCCCAAATTCACACAGGAAGTCTGACAGAGAGTCAGAAATTTAACCCCAATTTCCTGAGACCCAATCCAGTGCCTTAATCACAAAGCCATCCTTCCTTTCTAAAATACCTCATCCAACTGAAACTATACAGCAATAAATCAATTACAGTGTAGCTAGAATTTCTTTAACATCCTTAAATCTAGCCAAGATTGCCATGGAATCTTTAATACTTAAGTGGTCAGGACTCTGCAATTTTCCATCTCATCAAAAAGGATTTTGTTTTTGGTGAAGGATTTAAAATAAAATAAAGCACAAGCAAAAGTCAGTAAAGTTTCCTCTTAAAAACACACACATCACCACCTGTCCCTTTACTGTCTGATCAATTCACCTAAAAGCCTCCCAACACACTCGGCAACACCCAGCAGTCATGTTTAAAAGTCTACCTTGGAAGGTCTATCATCATCAAGTGTTAGTTTTCTAGACCAATGGAAAAATGAAAACTTGAAAGTAGCATTCACTATATTTTCCACTCTTGTACCCATGGCTCTCTGCTCTACACCCATCTAGCAACCATCATTAGTCCCACAATTTTCATTCACTTGTTCTTGCCTTAAAAAAATGCAAGGAAAAACTAAGAAAGAACAAAAAAGAAAAATGTGCGTTGTTACCTGAGCACCCACTAGCTGCAACAAGGCTGAGTTCACAGGGAGGAGATCAATATCTGTATTGATAGTGGTCTGGTCGAAGGGGCATGCCTTACGGTGGAGCTTGTTGAGGCACATCTTGCAGACAGTGTGGCCGCAGCCCAAGCTGATGGGCTTCCGGATCGTTTCATCAAAAGTTTGTGTGCAAATTGGGCAGGAGAGAAAATCCGTCCATTGTGGAGCTTGTACAGGCATTGTTTCAGAAGTTAATTCACAAGACAAAATCAAAAGCACAGATTCCACTGGAATCAAAATCTTTGACAAAAATGTTTGTTTTTAAATATCTTCTGTAAGTACAGACAGCCAGCACAGAGTGGGAAACATATCCTGGAAGGAAAGAGAAAAATGAAGTTAGCCCTCTGTATTGCAAAAGGTATTTTAAATCCTTTATGTTATTAATCGAATTCTTGAAGATGGACTGGCCTAGTTGAAGTGGGAGTGCAATTCAGTATTTAGAACAGGGGACTTTGAGTCATGACCTCTGTTCTACTGGCAGCTTGGCCCTGACCTTGGCCAAGTCACATAAACCTCTCAGTTTTTACATAGTTGTAAAAATGGGAATAATTATATCTACCTCATGAATAAAGCTGGATAAATTGATATTTGCAAAGAAAGATAAAGATCATGAAAAACAAATTGAGCAAATCAATATACAGACGCTCTCCAGGTTACACAAACCCGCACTTAGGCTTGGTCTACACTAAACCCCCAAATCGAACTAAGGTACGCAACTTCAGCTACGTGAATAACGTAGCTGAAGTTCGAAGTACCTTAGTTCGAACTTACCTCAGTCCACACGCGGCAGGCAGGCTCCCTCGTCGACTCCGCGGTACTCCTCTCGCCGAGCTGGAGTACCGCAGTCGACGGCGAGCACTTCCGGGTTCGACTTATCGCGTCCAGACAAGACGCGATAAGTCGAACCCAGAAGTTCGATTGCCAGCCGCCGAACTAGCGGCTGGGTATAGACGTACCCTTACGGAAAAATGTCGTCTAATTTGGTCATTTAACACATATGCAATACCTTAATGCATGCATTTGGAGAAAAAGCCTTGGTCTGGAATGGGGTGGGCAAACTTTTTGGGCCGAAGGCCACATCTGGGTGGGGGAAATTGTATGAAGGGCCGGGGTAGGGGTGCAGGAGGGAGTGTGAGAGTGGGTGCGGTGCGCAGGAAGGGGCTCAGGGCAAGGGATTGGGGGAGAGGGGGGTGCGAGGTGTATGAGACCCTCACTCACTTTTACTGGGCTTGGGCAAGGGGTATAGGCTTTGGGCTGGGGCCGAGGGGTTCGGAGTGTGGGAGGGGGCTCCAGGCTGAGGCTCAGCCTGGGGCAGGGGGTTGGGGTGCAGGAGAGAGTGAGGGGTGTGGGCTCTGGGACGGAGTTTGGGTGCAGGAGGGGGCTCTGGGCTGGTGCACAGTGTTGGGGTGTAAGTGAGGGGTGTGGGCTCTGGGAGGGAGTTTGGGTGCAGGAGGGGGCCCCGGGCTGGAGCATGGGAGAGGATGTGAGGTGCTTACCACAAGCAGCTCCCAGCTGGTAGTGCAGCGGAGCTCAGGCAGGCTGCCTGCCTGCCTGCCATGGCCCCACACTGCTCCCGGAAGCAACTGGCTGCTGGCACGTCTCTGCGGCGGGGGGTGGGGAGGAAAGGCAGCAGATCTCTGTGCGCTGCCCCCGCCCACAAGCACCGACTCTGCAGCTCCGTTGGACAGGAACCAGTCAATTAGAGATGTGGGGATAGTGCTGGGGGCAGCGCGTAAAGCCACCCCTCATTCCCCCCCAGGAGCCACAGAGACGTGCCAGCAGCTTCCAGGAGCAGTGTGGGGCCACAGCAGGCAGCCTGCCCGAGTCCCGCTGAACTTTTAGCGGCCCAGAGATGGCGATCGACTGGCAGAGGCTCCAGGATCAACCAGTCAATTGCAATCCATGGGTTGGTTACAACTGTTCTACAGACTGATGGAGACAGTATGCTGCAAGTAAGGGAATCCTTATTGTGTGTCCCTGGCCTTAGGAACTAAATCAACGAACCCTGAGAGGCAGTGAAAAGAGGATTCTTCAGGAAGCCAACTCTGGACCACAATGAGGGACAGTGACTACTGTAGTTCCAAGAGAGGCACATCCAACCCTTCTTCATTGAAAGAACCATTGCCACAACACAGGGCCTTTCTGTATTTTAAGAAATGCAGCACAGATGCTTCCTACTGCTCTAACAGATTCCATTTAAATATTTCAAGGAAATATAACCTGGGAAGTCTTTCTTACTAGGTTCTGTTACATCACATCATGATCTGAATGCCAAAAGAGGAAATGAATGCTGATAAGTGTAAGGAAGTATAAGATAAAATATCCCCTTGCTGTGAAAAAAAATTAAACAGAAGAAAATAAACAAAACTGCATCATGTATGCTATGAGAAACAAGGTAACAGACTAAATATGAATAAGAACAAATGATTAGAGTAATCTTTATAACGGAAAAAGCACTGTAAACGAGATACAACAAATGTCTTCAGTCTGAAATTGATCTTCTACCAAAATTTATCAAAAGCCAGTGTGACTGCATGGATTTAGTTCCATTCTAAACAGGATTTTCAAAAAGAACTTTTTATTTCTATTATACACAACTCTAGTATTTTTCTAAGAATATTTTCCCCCTTCCTCTCCCGATTTATAATTACTCCTTGGAACCTTGAAAATCATTTCCTCACTGCATTGGTTTTTCCCTTCAATCAGGAAGGAGCATACTTGTTTGCTAGAATATATTCAAATAGAAAGTTACTATGCATGCTGAGTAGGAACCATTTGTCAAACATTAGTAAGTTGGGCATTTTTACTTAAAAAGTACACAGTTTTAAATGGGAGACATGACTAATGGCCTCCAAATTAGAACCTGTTTTAATCAGAGATACTCTGAAAACATTCACAACTAATCAAAATATATTTTGTCTGAAAAACTTAGTTAAGTTTGTGTCCCAGAGTTTAGTGTAACTGTTGTTCACAACTATCCTACCTGATCAAAGAAAGTTACCAGTTAAACCATGGCCAAGACTACCAGTATCACATATGAAGACGACTGGTTCAGTCAATAGTATCATACCATTGCAAGCACTCAGACCAAAAAAAAAGGTTTAACAACTGTGTACATCCCAGAAGGGTCACATTTTTCTCCACACTTGAAGCCTTAAAGTGTTGCCACTATCTGGTACCAAGGAGGTACCAGCCAAGGAGGAGTGGATAGGAAACAATACAACTCAGTCTGTTAATGAGGATGTTATTGAACACCACAAGGCACTAGCTGGAGGCTTTGCCTATGCCAAACTCCAAAACCTTACCAACCTATGGAGCGAGAATTTGGAAACTTGTTTTTAAAATAACCTCCATGCCCCAGAATAAACATATTTCTATTTCATCCATCAGTCCTTGAAAAACAAGCCTGCTAGTAACACAGACATGCAAAGCAAATTGTTCTACTTCTTACAGGACTAGCATATCATTAAACCTACGAAAAATAATCATTGATTCACATGAACCATACAAACATCACAGGGAATTTGCTTCCTATCATTTGTCTGTACATCTATCTCAGACATCTGTAGAGTCACGCTTAGTTAACCAAGCCAGCTTTTGTAGGGTATCACTATACTTTCTTAAGATTCCAAGAGAAGCAAGAAGCAAGACAAAAAGTAAGTGAAATCTAATATATGCACTATTTCCCATAAAGTAGTATGAAGTTTGAACATGTAAGTGCCAGCTGTTTGACGGTCCTTTCCATCAAAAGGGGGCAGAAGGGAGAGATAGCTCAGTGCTTTGAGCACTGGCCTACTAAACCCAGGGTTGTGAGTTCAATCCTTGAGGGGATCACTTAGGGATCTGGGGCAAAAATCTGTCTGGGAATTGGTCCTGCTTTGAGCAGGGGGTTGGACTAGACCTCGAGGTCCCTTCCAACCTTGATATTCTATGAAAAAAAGTGAAATTTAAGAAGCCAGAAGAATTCATTTCCCAAAATAATGTATACAACTCAAGAACAATATGGGCAAGTTATTTTATAGCTTTTGTTTGTTTGTTTTTAAATTAAATCTATGGCATTAAACTAAACATGAGAAATTTCAGGCTCAAAAGTTGTTCCCTAGACAGTGAGAAAGTTTTAAAAAAAGACTTGTAATGGAATGGATGATACTATTTTAACAATGGCTTCTCTACCAAGGGATTTAACCACGAGTCCATTCCAGAATGCAACCCAAACAGTATTAAAATTCACACTTGAAACAATAGGACATTTTGCATTCATATTCCTATCCTGTATTCTACTTTTTTTCATATTTACAGACTCCTGTACTTTTTTTAAGATCCTGGCTATCCTAAGACAACTGGAGTAACAGGTAACATTTATCAGTTGTCCTGACAAGGTTCTTATACAAAACTCATTTTTCCACACTAAGAATATAGCCATGGAATCACCCATCTCCGTGGCCAGACTGCAGAGTTTTGAAAGAAAAAGAAAATATACATATGCTAGTAAAGGAAAACACTTGGGTGGCTCCTAATCAGCCTAAGCAAAAAGACTTTGAATTGATAGATTGCCCACAAGGAAAGTGCTGACTTGACATATGCCAGTAGGCAAAAGAGGAAATATAAAATACAGATAAAGTTGTCTAACCACAGCCATGGAAGCAAAGCTGCAATCCCCCCAACTTCCACTTGTCTAGAACAGGACAGGAAAACATATACTTGTTTTTCATCATCATGGTAAAGGGTGGGCAAGCAGACTTTATGCCTCTGCTGGTAAATTTCCATACTAGTTTTGGAAGGCTGGTACAATATCACTTACAAAATTCAGCTGAAATTCCCCTCTTCCTTGGGGGTATTTCAGATTAAGACCTGTGACAAATGCTGTTGTGCAGAGTTAGGGTTACCATATTTCCACAATCAAAAAAAAAAGGGGACACTGGGGGGAGCCCCACCCTAGCCCCGCCCCCATCCACTCCCACTTCCCATCCCCAGACTGCCCCCCTCAGAACCCCAACCCCCCCTGCTTCTTGTCCCCTGACTTCCCCCTGCTGAGAACCCCCACCCTAAATGCCCCCCTAGGACCTTACCTGTCCCCTGACTGCCCTAATCCTTATTCACTCGCATGGGTGGCAGGGCTGTAGAAATTTTGGTGGTGCCCAGAACTCCCCCCCCACACACACACCTGCCTAAGGCTCTGGGACCGGGGGAGGAGGTCTGGGGTGCAGGAGGGGTGCAGGCTCTGGGATAGAGTTTGGGTGCCAGGTGCAGGCTCCGGGCTGGGGCAGGGGGTGGGTGTGCAGGAGGGG